TCGACAGTGTGCGTTTTTGCATTGCATAAACGCAAAAAAGGCGTAATAAAAAGAGATACATTCCATTTGCAGCATAACAAAATGAAATCCATGCACATTATTATCATCAAAATGTCAAGTTTCGACTTTCCACATTATCGATTCTTCCCAAAAATACTTCTACAGAATAGCTCACAGCAGGGTAGGCCGGAGATGTAGTCTAATCAACACTTAAAGCTAATCTTTCGAGAGCTAATCCTCTGCTCTTTTGCCTTTACATTTCAATCTTTGCCAAGGATAAAGATATTCGAAAGCGACCCAAGTGAAAGCATCCCCCCAACAGTAACCACAAACTGGTACGAATACCCCTGGTATTTCTTCCTTGAACTGTTTGAGAGGCAAAATAAATGAGGCTCTGCTTAGCTTGCGGCATCACCAAAGAGAACAGATAATAAAACTAATAAAAAAACTGATGCTCAAATCCGATACTTCCAAGCCTATGATGAGTGATAATGCGTCCATTTCGAAAGACTTCTGTGACACTTGCTGTCTCACCTGCTGCTCGGCCTATTAGTAAGATTGGCATCCATTCAGTTTTTGGATCCCATCCTTCTCTTTCCCATATGGGAAGTAAGAAAAAAAGAGATGCAGAACACAAGTTTTTTCTATGAATGTAGATCGCAAAATGTAGGAAAAACACTGGGAACAGCGCAAACAGGATGGAAAGAAGCGCTTGAAAATTCATATGGAATTACAGGCATAAAAGCGGCTTAAAGGTGAAGAAAATGGCGAAAAGGGTTATGACAGCGGAGGAACAGCCAATTAAAATCTCAAAGCACTGAGGATAACAGAAGGGAGAGGGCATGTGTAAGGACTGCACGGTCAATGCAAAAAATCTGTAAGAGTGGTGTTCTCTGTAAAAATATGCGTTCTTTCAAAAACAAGGATAGTTATTTTGCAGAAAACAGAACGTCTTATTGATCCGATACACAGTAAACACTTTTCTGAATTTTAGATGTTTGTCTACCATCTTTGCGATAATTTCAGATGTTTGTTTAGTATCTTTGCGAAAAAGCAGCACAACAAGCAGACATCCGCCGATCAACACTAAAAATACCTCATAAATTATACACGCTACAGTAGCCGCCGCAAGAGATTTTAAACATACCAACATAGCAGTAGCGACTTTTGGGTTTGGCATAAAATAATGTGAAATTTAGAATTTAAAAAAACAAAAACGCGTCCACATTCACTATGAAACAATCGAAAGTAGCCTAAATTCTAGCAAAAATTCTAGCATACACTGAGCTGACAAAGCTTGCAACAGCTCCTTCTTTCAGGAACAGCTCAAAAGCAAACTGACACCAGGTTACATTCGCAAATCTGCGCCAGTACTAGCTTATCATCGAAATGAATGAACGAATCGTATAGAGACTGGCTGTCTCACTGGCGGAGTTGAACCTTCGACTTTCAACATCAGCGTGGA